TTGCGAAGTAGTCTTTCATGTATCTGAATTACATTCTTGTTATCAATCTTGCCTTTTACATGAGGCCTTCCTCCCTTCTTAACATTTAATTATATGGTAAGCTAGATAATAAACGAGATCCCTTTGCAATTACTCGCACTTAGCCATTAAGCTTATAGTTCAGGATAAGCTGTCTTATCAGTTATCCTAATTTGCTATCACTAATTCTCGAATAAGAACTCACTCTAGGTCGCATAGGTTGATTTAATGACCACTAGTGAGTCTTTTCCATATTCTGGAATTTACTTCATTATTTCTTCTTATACCACGAGTATTGTTCACTTTTTATTCTCTTTTAGTTTGATGCCTTTAATTTGACGTTTTTAGGCAAGCCTTTCTTTGTTGCCTTTAGCATGTTATATATGTTTATCCGATATTCTTATATTGACTTGGTGCGGTGTTTACCTATATATACTACTTAGATTACGGTAATCGGTATTTCTTCTCATTTATGCAGCTTCTCTATGATTTGGCCGAAAAACTTGGCGCTGCTGTTGGTGCTACTCGTGCTGCTGTTGATGCTGGGTTTATCTCAAACGATCTTCAGGTATGCATAGACCTTTTACAATATAACTAAAAATACTTCAATGCATTGCTGTGCGCAGATAAATCATCTGTTCATGGAAAGGAGGCTAAATCATATAAGAGCTTGTTTATGACAAAATGAGTTATTATCGAGAGCGGAGAGTTTAAAGGGCGTCGCGTAAAGCCGGAGTGTAATGGAGGAGCATAGGAATCAAATGGGAGATAAAGGCGTAGAGGAGCTACGTTCCCTTCCAGTATCCTTATCGTTAATAGAAGTTGTTATAACATGTTTTCGCAACATGGTCATATTGGTAGGAAGACTTATAGGAACGCACCTAGTCCGGAGTTTATTGTATGCATGACAATTTCCAAACTTGAACCTTGGACGTTGTACATTCCTATACTAGCTTTAAACATAACGTTTTATCGATGTTGGAGTACCTTTTATTTTGTTTGAATAGTAGAGTGGAAAGGATTCGTAAGTTGGTTCCATTGGAAGTCGAAGGGAGGTTTCTTTGTAGCTGTGATCGTAGATTTATGTGATAAAGTCCACGTCTTATCGTCCAGCGACCCCGATGAATCCTTTCTAAGCTTCTGTCCATCATCTGGCGGGCAGCGTCAGAGCAGGCCACCATGTTTTACGATAATTCAGCAGACAGGAGGACAATAAAGGTAGCTTGCTTACAGTTATTTAACTACCTAGAATTGGATTATCCTCGCAATTAGATGAGTACGCCTGACGATGTCATTGTCTTCCCAAAACTTATCTCATCCAGGGTGTACTCTAGTTCTCCACAGCATCCGCAAAGGGATTCGATATTGGGTCGTTAGTACCGTTTCGGATAATTGAGTGATAAAGATCGCCACGATATTAATGACTCGGTATTGAAACTTTCTGCGGAACCTGATGAAAAATAGACGATATGGAACCTGCAATACACCCTGAATAGTATTAGCTATGGGGATGCAAAGTATGTGTAATTCAATAGCATCGTTAAGCCAACTCATATCATTGTGGAAAAACCTCATTTATCGGTTCTTAAATAACCCTAAGCGACCTAAGGTTACTGATTTCTTACTATACACCCATGTCAGACATTTAATGAACCACTTCTCACCACGCATACATACGTGCTTAACTCATGTGCTGGAGTCTATCAATTTTTGTTCTCAACCTCTACAATACCAGAGTAGAGTTTCAATAGCTCTAAATTTTATACTTAGCGTCCCCACTTTACTTCGCCCCAGCTTCTTTTAGAAACTGACTTCTCTCACTGCAATAGCTTCCTGCTTTTTACTTACATTTATCTCTTGGTAGTCTCATTGGTGATATCTCTTGTTTAATCCAGCTATTTTCTTTTGCTAAATAGTAAGTAAATCCTTCGCTTACATTTTCCTCCTTTAATATCCTGTCTTGAACATGGATTCCTTCAGCTTCCCTGAAATTGCATCTTGTATTTTTGTCATCGAGACCAGTCTTTAACTTGTATTTCAGTCGATGTCGTAGACCGGTGAACTTCTATATGCTATTTACTACCTTTTTATATTCATTATTTTGTATAGTGGCTGGTGTTATTCAATTGTTATGTCGTTTTTTCTATCTATTTTTCCATTGCATGCGGTAGTTAGTATAGTATACCCACGACGAATCCACTTAATTGGAAAAATGAAGAGAACAATCACCATATATTACACCAGACACTTGAATTCGCCTAGTTCTTGCTTTATGCGATACCCCGACTTTTAATATTAAAGTCTGCCTCGTAACCCAGGGGCATTCGTAGCGGTTTGGTGTGGTGGTAATTTGCCTATTTTATTCATTGCTCTACTTGGCTTCGATTTTCGCTGTGGGTGTTGATGATTTATGCAGTCCAATTTGAATGATATTACCTTTTGGCAAGTATGGCTGCATTAAATCCTTTGGAAACGTAGGCCTATTCATATTATTGTGTAAAAAACTCAACTATTAGTCCTTTATTACATACGATATGGGGTAACTGAAGATCTTTTTTAATTATTACTTCACTGGTTGTGATACTATTAACGTACCACATTTGGTGCTGTCAACAATCCGTCTGTATGAAGGCGTGAATTTTAATACGAATAGGTATAATCCAGAGAAATAGCTCATCAAAAGCCCCAAAGTCACTCTCTTAATTATTCTATATTCATTTAAAGATTGTATAGCACCAATGGCGTAATTAAGCCAGTTTGTTTTTTAATGCTATCCTTTATTCGCTTCGATACTATAGTTATATTCGGAAACTTTTTACACTACTGAACAGCTCTCGCTTTCTGTTTATCGGCCAGCTTATGCTTTCAATTCAATACGCATATGCATATGTATATATATATATAGTTTCAGATTGCATGACTTTATTTTATGCTCTTACCGAACATCGAAATTAATTATAATATGTTTATGATGATATTAAATATTATTTATCAAATTATTTTACTATTTGCTTTATAATTACTTTGAGTTCGGTATTTTAATTTTATCTTAGATTGGACAAACTGGCAAAATTGTTGCCCCTGAACTATACATTGCCGTTGGAATCAGTGGTGCTATTCAACATGTAGCTGGAATGAAAGATAGCAAAATGATAGTTGCAATCAATAAGGATCCTGATGCACCAATATTTCAGGTAACTATATGGTTATTGGTTTATGTATAATGCCATCGAACTTCCTTTCATCTAGAAATATGGTTTTGATTTTTTGAATTTACTTGCAGACTTAGTACTTGGTTAAAAAGAATTAGAAAGCATGTTATATCCTATAAACTGGTATTTGGGTCTATACTGCATGCATTTGATTAGGAAAATTAGAATAGCAATCAAGAAGCGTAATGAGCGCTTAATTATGGGTTATTCTTGTTCAAACTCACTTTAATATCTATTGCATCTCCTGTAAACTTACTTAGCCGTTTATAGAGGATATTCGCTTACTTGTTATTCGGTCATTAACATACCTCTTAACTCGTTATTTTGTATTAACGAATATAATCAGAATGATCTTTTCGAGAAAAAGCTCGCCTAGCTCGCATCAACACCCCCAGCTTCTTTCTCCAAATAAATTCGCTGAAATATTTTCGCACACTCTCTTCACTTTATAATTCTATGATGACAAAATCAAGAGGCTTCTTGCTTAGCTACTACACAATCCGTCTTATTTTACTCAGCTTGATATAGGCCTTCTTATGGAAGTGTAATGAATTCTGAGGCGAAGCCTTTAATGTTATTACTGAACTTTTATTGATTCCTTATTTTAGGGTACTATATCATCGATCATGCGTATTAGTTTATTTTAGTTGAAACGCTCTGTTATTCGGCCCATTTAACTTTATTTAGGCTTCCATCCTATAAAACGTGAGCTTCAATACACAAATAAAGATTGAGTTTCATAAGATCACTTGATTTACTCTAGCTGAGCTTACTTTCATTCGTAGGTTAATTTTTGGTGATCAATCCAACCAGAAGAAAAGAGTGTATTCCTCTTGATTATCTGTCTAACCAATAAAACTCGTTAGTTTTATAGAAATTGTTTGACCTTGTTTTCGCAACTTAGTCATATTGTTAGGAAGAGTATTAGGAAAGCACCTTATCCTGAGTCCATTGTATGCATAATTATATTCAAAGTCGGACCGTGGACGCGGTACATTCCCAGACGTTTC